CCCTGGGGCTGCTGGCTCGGCGCTATCCGTTATGAGGTTGCCCCGGGGACCCAGGCATCTGGGCAGGGGGTGGGATCTGGGGGGACATGACTGACCTGCAAATTTGTTGCGGGTCCAAGATGTTCATCAAGAGGGGGATGTTAATTACTGCGGCTGCAATTAATAAAGTATTTTAGTAAGAGCTCGGGCTCAGTGGCTGTCGGGGCGGGGAGGGTGGGGCAGAGAAAGGGACCCAGGTGTCTGGGGTGCCCCTGCACCCCTCAACTCCGTGCCAGCTGCCCTCCCCCTGCCTGAGAACCCAGGCATCTGGGCCCTCCCCCACTTCCAGTGCAGGGTGCCTGGGCAGCTGTGTGACCCCCGACTCGGGTGCTGTGGTTCCCTGTGGAGACACGAGGCCCTGGTGCCCAGTGCCCCGCTGCACCCCATTGCTCCCCGCAACCCCCACAACAGCCAGGGAGCCCACACACACACACAAGGAACCCAGGCATCTGGGGGACACACTCAAAACCCAGGCATCCAGAGCACACACAAAGGGAAACCCCGCCATGCAGGACACAGGCATCCGGGCCTCCCCCTCTGTATACAAACGCTTCCTTTCTCTGCTCTCGAGATTTTTGTACAATAAAAGTTTAATGACATTTATAAAAAGGCGCCGGGCCAGGCGCAAAGTATCCAATCCACAACTTATTAACATATGTACACAGAGGAAGCCGAGAAGAGCCAATTAAAAATATATATATATGTATATGTATATATATATATATATAGGGAAGGGGTATCCTGTGGGGGGGGCGGAGGGCCGGGATGTCAGTAGGTCAGCCAGGCAGTGTGGTGGCTGTTGCCTGAGCTGGGAGGTCAGTGGGCAGGTGGGGAGGTCATTGGGTAGACTGGTGTGAGCCAGTAGGTTGCTGTGTGGGTTGTTAAGTAGGTAATCATTGGGTAGATGGTATGAGCCAGGAAGTCATTGGGTGGGTTGTTAGGCTGCTAGGTAGGCCATTAGGCAATTGGGTAGATGGTGGGAGCCAGAAGATCATTCAGTGGGTGGGTAGGTTGCATTAGGCCATTGGGTAGACTGGTATGCGCCAGGAGGTCATCAAGTGGGTTGTTAGGCCACTAGGTAGGTTGTTAGACCACTGGGTTGACTGGTGTGAGCCGGGAGATCTTCAGTAGGTGGGTAAGTCATTAGGCCACTGGTAGACTGGTGTGAGCCAGTAGGTCATTGGCTAGGTAGGTCATTAAGCCATTGGGAGAGACTGGTGTGAGCTAGGAGGTGGTTCAGCA